TTTCAATAGCCTGATGGAAGGCAGATGAGAGCATGCTTGAGTACAGAGTGATTGCACAGCTGGTAGAAAGATAGCCTTTATTGAACAAGCAGTGCAGGAGAGCTTATTGATTTTTTTTAAAAGTGCCAACAAAAGGGGCACTAGAGCAATAGAGTTCTGGCTGTATGCCAGAGTAGCCAGCTGTAGGATTGTAGGGGGTGAAGAGTAATGAAATGTGGGGTGCTTGAGGACCAACCAAACCTGAGTCACAAACAAGATTGCTAACCAACAATATATAATATTTTACTGACAATCTGCAGACCTTTTATAGACAGCTAAACTCTTATTGACTTTTTTACATAATATAAAGGATGTACAAAGCACAAAAAGACATGTTATTTGTGTAGTTCATAAGCACAAGATGACATTAATCCCATGTCCCCAGAAGCCAGGGACTTAAAAAACAAAACAAAAAAACTAACCCAATACAGGCAGTCCTTGGACTTAGGACACAATTGGTTCCTGAAAATGGCGTCTTAAGTTGAAATGTTGTAACTCGGAACTGATTTTCTCATAAGAAACAATGTTATAAATAAGGGATTGGTTCCTGAACCGAAGCCTGATACCCTATTTTCACCAAAAATACCACAGAATTTTGTAGTCAATCAATTATAGATGAGTAATATAGCTACATTAATGTATTATATTGTAAATAGCAATCATATTGATTTGGAAGGACTTCTTTGAGGTGACTTTGCTGGACTTTTTGAAGGGCTCTTGGCTGGAGTCTTCTCAGGAGTCTTAGCTGCAAGTTTTTCTGGAGTCTTGTCTGCTTTCTTAAAGAAAGTGTCCAAGGAAGTTTGGACAGATGTTCTCCAGGGAGATGAGTGACGCAGCAAACTTGTTCCCTGGTGTGGCGTTGCATCAGATCAAGCATTGTAAAGTCGAAACTGATGTCAGAAAGTTGAAACAGGGTGTCAATTTATAAACGTTGTAAGTCAAGGACTGCCTGTATCGTTAAATATAGACCTACTGTATCAGCAGAGAAAGTGATCTCTCCCTCCCCGTTGCTGCTGTGCTCATCTTGCCACAGGAGTCTGGAGGATGTTGGTGGAGTGCTCAGGGACAGGCCCACCCCACAAGGTGGACTGGAGGGAGGGAGGAACATGAGTGGAGACCAGAGACACCCTAAGCCCTTCTCCCTGTGCTTGGCACAAGCTCCTTGCTTGTCAGGCCTACCCTTCCTTGGCTCCCTACCCCTTCCCCTATGCAAGCAAGTGAGGAGGAATCCCACCTCTTGTACCACAGAAGACATGAAGCATTTCCAGAAACACCCAAAGGTCTTGGTGGGCAGCAGCAGGAGGAGCAGAGTTGCCCAACTATCTGTAAATTTTACAGAAATCTAAATATTTTTATGGACAAACACTTTTAGTCATGGTTGGATGGTCCAGAAACCTGTTAAAAATAATACTTGTTTGAAAGTATACCTGGAAAAACTGTTCCTTGGCCAAATAAAGTTGTTTTCCTAGTGGTATCTTTTAAAAAATAATATATTCGTATAGATACTTTTAACTGAAGTACCGTGAGCAAAAACTAAGCTATGGCTCAGGGGTGTCCAAACTTTTTGCATGTGGGGACGCATCATGAACTTTTTATCACCCAGTGGGCTGGCGAGCCATATTCAAAGGCCTCACAGGAAGTGGTATCATATCAGGAAGTGATGTCATGTGACCTTTGACACCAATGAAGTTGTAGGAAGTAACAATGAAATGGGTCTGGAAATGTGGTTTAAAATCCAAAATAAAAAAATATAAAAGCAACAATGAAATAATACCAAACACTTGACTAAAATAAACACTTTTGCTTCTACTCACTTCTCAATGAATGAAAGAAGCATAATTCAGGCTTGCCCTGGGACACCTGGGCATACAGCACCAGGTAGAGGAAGCCATGGAGGAGCAGCCAGCTGTTGGCTTCAGCAGCAGCAGTGAGGAGGAGGAGAAGCAGAGCCTCAGGATGCTGCCCGGCTCCATCGGGGATGAGGAGCCCAGTCTTCACACACGACCATGTGCACGCAGCCCACCTCCCTCCTCGCCCCCGGCTCCCCTGGAGGAGGCGGCGGAGGAAGGCATGAGTGTGATCTTGTGCTTCCTCCTCACGAGTGCACGCACGCGTGTGGCACCCCCGCACGGGCTTCTCAGCATCCCACCCGGGGACACGGCCCCACTGATAGCTGGGCAGCCGTGTTTCACACTCGCGTGCTCATCCCCACATCCGCACCACACTGCCCCTTCCCTGCCAGTGCAGTGTGGACCGCCCCCGGCATGGGGCTTAAAGGACCCAGCCTGGAACCAGCAAAAAAATAAAGAAGTGGGGAGGGCTTCCTCTGCTGGGGAGGGAGGAGGAGGTAGAGGAAGCGGAGGCAGCGCATCGAGCCCAGGCCAGCGCTGTGCACTCACACGGGGCAGCGCCTGCCTGCAACCTCTCTGTCTGCCACTGGGAAGATGTGCCCTGCAGGTGAGCATGGAGTGGGGCAGGCCCAGGGGCCCCGAGATGATGCCTCCTTCTCCCCAGCCACAGCCCCGAGGGGTAGAGCCAGGTGATTTAGCAAGCGGCGATTTAGTGTGGGGGAAGTTGACCAGAGAGGGTCTGGGGGAGTTTCGTTCCCGCTCCCCTCGCCCTGCGTGTGCCTGGCTGGGCTCTGCTTGCTGCCCGCGGTGCTGGCCAGTACAAGCTCTGCCTGGGACTGCCCCATGCTGCACCGATGACCCGCGCTTTTCCTGCCAGCTACTCCTCTTCCCACACACACCGCGTTGGCAACATCCAGCTGACGCAGTGCATGTGGGAACCGTGTCCCTTCCCCAGCCCTTCAGCAGCCATTAGGAAGCTGCTGAGGGGCTGGGGAAGGGACGAGGGTTGGGAACGAAAGTAAACAGCGTTTACTTTCGTTTCCCGTCGCAGCACCGCGGGCCACAGAAAATGGCTTGGTGGGCCACAAGGCAGCCTGGAGGCCATATGTTGGACAAGCCTGATTTAGCTGAACAAGATAATGAGATAGGAGTCTTGTGCGTGGCCGTTTTTTATTGATTAGTACCTGTTCTGTTCTGTAGATATGCATCTTATAATAATGTGTCTGTGAATCCAGTACTTAACTTTGTTTTAATTAGGAATGGGAAAGGTTAAATGATTGTTTAACCGGTAAGCCCAGTGGCAACTGGTTAGCTTATCAGTTATTATTTAGCATTGGAGAAATTTCAAAATTAAAGAAGCCATTGTGCAGAGCACTACCAGTACAAATTCCCAAGATCCCTACCTATGAGGTTAAAGAGGAAGACATCAAGTGGCCTAATGACTTGTCAATTAAGCAATTAGCTGCTTCTTCACAGGTGCTCCCTCCCTCCCAGACCAGGGATTTACTTGGGCTGTATTGTCTGGGAGCAGCTCCCAGCAGCAGCTCTATCCAAGCTGTTGTGTATACAGCTGGATGTTTAATCAATATAATTAGAGGAGGTTAAAGAGATCATTTTATCCACAATATTTATAGCCCTAGTTTTTAAGTTTTGCTGCCTATTAAAAAGTTGCAAATAAAACTTTGTGGTGTTGTTCATATTTTTAATATAGATTTGGTCCCCTGTCCATATGCCCTTTTTTATCTCTGGGACAAATTTTATATTAATTAGAACTTTTGAGCCTGAAATTCAGATTTGACAATGGCTAATCCAGCTCTGTTTTTGTAACAAAGGACTGATGGTGTCTAGTCGGAGTACTAATAACAGTGATGTCTTAATAGCTGTGTAACAAACACAGTAGATCAGCGTTTCCCAACTGGTATGTCAAGGCACACTGGTGTGCCATCAGGCACGTCCAATTGTGCTGCGGCACTTTGGGCTGAAGCCACCCCCCTGCTTGGCTGGCGCTACGCCCCCCACCTGCTGTTACTGCAGACACGCACAGACTAGGGAGCGTGGCTCCAGCCCAAAATGCTGTCCAGCTGGCCAGGCTGCCCCCCCACCACCCTGGTCGGTGTGTGACTGGCCACACACCACTCCTCCACTCCCACTCCATGTTCAGTGTGCTGTGGTGCTTTTTTATTTAGGTACGTGTGCTGTGGGGAGAAAAAGGTTGAGAAATGCTGCAGTCGATAGGTACAGTAAAAGCTTTGTTATCTGCCACCCATGGGGAATGAGGCGTGCCGGATAACAAAATATGTCAGTTAATTGAGAGGCCCGAACAGGCACGGGCCGCCGCTTCTCCCGCTGCATCCGGGGCGTCGCAACCCCTCCCACGGCATCGCTGAACCTCCCACGGGCCCTGAGGGACAGGGAGGCAGGCCCTGCGCAGCCTGCTGTGCCCCGGGCCATGGGGGCTTGGCAGCGCAGGCTGCTTTGCCCCGGGCTGTGGGGGCTTGGAGAAACCAGAAGTGCCATGGTGGGCATTTCCAGTTTCACTTTACCTTACAAGCTGGCATGCCGGTTAATGGAACATGCCGGCTTGTACAGTGCCAGTTAACGGAGCTTTCACTGTAATAGCTTTTCCCTAGATTTTTCCTTCCCTTCGCAATTAGAAATGGGTTTACTGGCATTGTCAAGGTAAGCTTCCGAGAACTATAGCTGTTTTATTTTGTTTTGAGTACCAGATAACATGTAAGACGTGTCCAGGACAGAATTAAAATCTGGCCATGAATAGTACTGAAATCACAAAAGTGACTTGAAAAGAAAGAAACTGGATTTGTGCTGGGGCTTTTTTTCTGCTTTATAATATACAAAGAAGACCTTAAAAAGTCTTTTCTTCTTTAAGAAAGGAAAAAGTGTGGTGCTAAGCTATACTTCCTGTAGTGTTATGGTTTTGCTTGTTTAAGCAGTCTAGTCTCTTTGAAAGAAATGTAACTGTTCACATATTACTGATGTAAATATAAATTGTCATGCTATATCTTGTTTGTTTTTTGCTGATTATTGTGGTGAAAAATGGATTAAAAAAACAACTGTTTTAACAATCTCTCTCTCTTTTCCGACGTGTGGCAGTTCTGAACAGTCTGACGATGAGCAGCCTCAAGATGAAGTCCCTAATTTGACGTATGCAAATGGTACGGACCAATCGCAAAACATGGAGGAGGAAGACATCATAGATGCTAAGCTCCAAACACTGAAGGAACTCTTTCCACAAAGAAATGACCAGGAATTACTACAAGTAATTAATGGTTTTACTACTTTTTTTTAAGCAATGTCTGTGCCTTCCGTGTAAGGAAAAGAATTAGTAAATCTTACTCACAGGAGCTTATCAGCCAGTTCTAGTAATCAAAAACTTAGCTATGAGAATCTTAAATCCTACTTTAAAGATTTTTTTGTGGGTGTGGTGTGGGTGTTAACACACATGAGCCAGGCCAGATTAGTTTCCTAAACAGATAGCAGAGAGCAGATGTTTAATTCTGCTTAACCCTGTATATTCTAGCAGTGACTAAATGTTTTTGCCCCATTTAAAGGAGATAAAGTAACTCATGTTTAACAGTCATTGGGTGTATACATGCAATTAATTTGGACCAATAAACTCTGGAGCAGCTTGAGCTGGAGTAAACTACTCCCAGGTGCAGTCTACATATTCGCTTAGGACAACAGCAATCTGAGCTGGAGCAGAACAGTTTATACCAGGGCCGTTCAGCCCCAGGTTCTGGGTGGTGGCATTAGATGGCAGAGGGGCTAGCTGAGGCACAAGGGTTCTGAAAGCAGGGACCCGTGTGACTAGGCAGCAAGTAGGAGCCTGGCCTCTGGCTGGCTGAGTTGACTGGGCACAATTTATGCCTGCGGTCATCATCTACGCATGTGTTTAATTGTAGTAAATTACTCTGGCCTAAGATAATATTGTCGGGAACAGTACTATCTTACTGTGGTGTAAATTAGTTTACTGCAGCCTAATACCATTGCACATATAGATCTGGATGCTTTATTCCACAGTTAATTGGTCTACTCTACATAAGGTGCACTGACAGCTATACGCTTCTTCAATACAGATAAAGTCTGAGACTTTGGTCTCAAAGCTTTTTTTCAGTCCTAATCTTTGTTCTACCTTAGCAAACTGAGCTCTAGGCTACAATTTCAGGATCTCCCACTTTACCCTTTACTGGAAGCTTCTTTGTTTGCTCCTGCCTCCTTAACCCAAACTTCTGACTAAACAAAACAAAAAAAATGACTGGTCTCAAATTTAAACCCTGCCTTGAGTCTTTATACTGCCATGAAACCCCATCCCTATTTGCTGACTCGCAGCCTCCAGGGTGCATTCCTAGGTCTGTGGCTTCCCCTCTATAGCAGCCCATGCTGGCAGGAGCTCCTCTCCTTCAGGAGTCAAGGCCAGATTGATTCTTTGGCTTAGGAACCAAGGTTTATACCCCGCCCTGAGCTCCACCCCTTCTGGCCATGTACTTTTCTGACCAGACACAGGTATGTCTCTTCAGCTCTGCCAGCAGCCTGCTCTCATCTGCTGCAGTTTGTCCTCCTACTCTGGCCTGTTGGCCTATTGCCATGCAGGTAGCTCCTAAGTCATTATTTGTAGCCCCTCTAGCTTCCCCTAGGTGCTTACTCTCCTGTAGCTACCCCTTGCTCGGCTGTCTGCATCTGACTGCAGGGCCTTTGCCTGGTGCACTTTTCCTCTTAAGACAACAGGATCCCTTGATTCCTGTTACAGCACCTACTTTTTCTTTTTAACCCCTGTCAGTTAAGTCAATTCAGTCATATCTGCAAATTTTCTTTAATAAATACCTTAACTATTTTTTGGTACTCATGTTAGCTGAGAGTTGCTGTTTTCACTGCATATCAGTGGAGCTGGATTCACTGTCATTACCTGTTTAAAATCTAAGGGGAGGCCCTTCTTTAAAATTATATTTGTAACTGTCGACTTCCTTGTAAGTGCAGCTCTTTGCCAGAAGTCTGTATGGTCAATTAGTTTGCGCTTAAAGACGCTTCTAAAAGAAGGATAGAGAAGAGACAAGAATCTGCTTCCAAGGAAAGCATACATAAGTTCCTGAAGTAGTATATGACATGATCCAGGAAGTCCACTGCTATGAAAGACTTAAGCACAAAATGACAGTAAAATAGTTAAATAGATGGTTCTTCCACACAGTTAAATTGCAGTTAAATTTAATTTTAAGCTTTCATTGATGGGACTGTAACAAGATAAGTATTACTTCTTGGTATTATAAACGTAAAAGTTGATTGCTTGTACATGTAAAGTACAAGGTAAGGAACAAGTCATAGTTACAGTCTCTAAAAGCTTTGTTTCAGTACAATATTTTTAAGCACTTCAAAAGAAAAGTGACATCAGTAATCAGCCTAGCTAATGACTTCATATTATTTGTGTTCTTAAATCTTTCTGTTCATGATTAAGGAAAAAAAACCCCAGTAAATTAATAGTTTTTGTTGCTATTTACTAGCTTGCTTCTGTTTAGTTTGACTACACCTTGCTCACTTTTTTGTTTTTAATTCCTAGTTGATAAAGTCAACACACACAATGGATGAAGCAATAGCTGCTGCTTTGACGCACAGTGATGAAGGTATGTAGTAATCTTCAAATATGTCTTATTCAGGAAAGATATTTTTTTTTACCCTCAAGGAAACTTGATGGGGTTTTTTAATTAGAAATTAGTACCTTTCATGCAAAGAGGAAAATATGCCATTATTTCTTTCCTTTCATTCAGTCTGTTTTCAACTTTGCCTATGTTCTTTAGTCTTTTTCTTTGATCACTTAGGATTGCTTTCATTTCATGGCATCCATAAATGGTATACATAATTGCTGGCTTCTCCTTTGTACAGAAACTGCAGGTTGAGTAATTATACAGTAGAGATCTTCTCATCCAGTTTCATAAAACTTTATATCCAGGGGACGTGTGGCTTAGGGAATTGGAATGGCAAGTCTTTTGGCTTTCAGATCCAGGCTATGCTGTATTGACTGCCACTATTTGGGACTAAACAAGATGTGTGCGTGCACGACACTTTAAAGTGGGCTAAATGCTTTTGCACTGCTTTCATGGTGTTGGTGTTTGCATGCTTCAGTGGTGTATTGCTCATTAATTCCAGCCGCTGTAGTAAATTTGGTAGCATAATGTGCCTTAAATGACTTGGGGTGCAGCAAACTAAGACTACTGTGAGGAGTTTTAGTTTGCTGCCCTACCAGTCGTGGAGCGAAGTACTGGGCTTCGTGCAGCTCAGGGGCTCTGCAGGAAGGCAGGAGCCCGTGAAGGCAGGCTCTGGCCAAGAGGAGGCGGGGAAAAAAGTGGCAAACCTGATCTGATTTCCCCTCCCCCCCTCCCAGCCTGCTTGCCTGCCTGAGCTGCACAGGGGCCTGGTGCTTTCCTCTGCAGCTGCAATGCCTCCCCAGACTGCCCAAGCTGGGTGCCTGCAGGCGGGTGCTGCCTGGGGGTGGGGCACTGCTGCTGCAGAGGGAAGCACCAGCACCCCCACTCACAGTCCAGGGACTGCTCTGCCCGCCAGCAGCTCACCCTCCCCTCCCTGCCACTGGAGGTAAGTTGGTGTGTTTAAAAGGCCCTAAATTGAAGTGATGTTTTTAAAAACCCACTGCTTCAACTTAGGGGCCCTGTTTTGTCTGCACGCCCTGGATTAGTGGCCTTTTTGAGAGGTGCCCAATGGCATTTATAATAGCTTTGGTAGTCTTGGTATAACACTCCAATACAGGTCTGGGAGGAGACAAAAATAACTTCTAGAGGTGATCTCTGGAACATGAAATCATTTTGAGATAGGGTGGAGAAAATTGCTGTGCAGCTATACCACGCATGAACAGATTTTTGGTTATCTGGACCATCCTTCACTATGGTTATTAATTAAAAAAAAAGCCCAAACACGTGAAGCTTTTGTAGTCCAATAACCTGATGTTTGGAGACCGAGTGTATACAAACTAACTGGTGACTGAAAATGAAAATGTATTTCAGTGAAACGTGGGTGTCTACACTGGCTTATTGGGACATAACCTAATTTAGCCTTCATGGCTAACCATTGTACAAAGCATCTGTTCTTTGGCTAGATGGCAGCTGAAATTTGGGCTCTATCAGGATTGCGTAAACTGGGATTAAAAATCAGTCAGAGTGTTCAGGTATGTTCTTAGTGTGACTAGATGCTCAAAATATTGGTCTTTTCGGTTTCCCTGAACGGAAGTAGGAACAAAAGTGCCTGTTGACAACTTTCTGTCCAAAGCCTCAGGTCATGCTGCTTTTTCTTGTCCCTGGAACAGGTTTGTTGGCTGCTTGGCTGTTTCTCTCCAGGGATCCACACATACACAAACCATCCATCAGAGATCCAGTGATTTATTTAGAGGAGCCAAGGACTGAGGGGATATAGGCTTGGGACTTGGATATGAGACATGTTTACACTATAACAATGAAAAGCAGAGACATGACTGTTGCTTGCAGATGTTTAAAAAAACAAACCAATCCAAACAAACAAAAACAAACCAAAAATGGCACTTTAAATTGGGTGTGCTCCCACACCAAGGTTAGCACATAACCAGAAGAGGCAGCATGTGTTAGTCGGACCTGGCTCACCCAACATGGGTAAAGTTTGGGCACTTCAGTGGGGCATTTTTGGTGTTTTTATCTAAGAGATGATTGATTCAGCTTTAGTTAAGTGCCAAAAAACCCCGCTGAAGTGCCTGATCTGTACAGTCACTCCAGAGCTGGGTCAAAGTAATAGGATGTTGCTTCCAGTAAGGCAGTTTTTTTAACATCTGCAAGCAGCTGACATGTCCCTATAGTACTGTAACTTGCTTGAATAGTGTGGAATAACCTCAGGAAAAATCAAGGGTTAAATTACACCATAGGTGTCACCATAATAGCTATCCTGTGGCAACTGTTTATTCAATGCAAAAACACTTACCTGCTTCTCTACTACCTGGTGTTCAAGGGAGTTTAAGGGCTATAAATGAGTAGATACTTATGGCAGACTTGGTAAGAACTGCATCTCTGTCCACTCTAAAGCCTTATGAAATTACATTGGTGTAGAGAACTATTGCATATTATACCAGCATAAATGCATCATCTGTTGCAGTCTTCGAAAGTTGCTGCAGTCCCTCACTCATGGCTCTCCCACTCTCCCCTGATCTGTGCATGCCAAATTACAAGGGGTCATGTAGCTGCTTGCTGTTACAGCATTACTAATGCTGCTAGTTCTCCATGATTTTGAGCTCAGAAACTAGAACCCAAACTACTTATTTTGAAGAGCTGAGAGGACAGTAGTATAGGTGGGAAGTTGGGTTTTGAGGAACAGCTGATGGGTTCAGAAATGGTATGCACAAAAAAGCAAGCTGTGGGCACATCCCAGATGGTAACTGTTATATTTTTTGGCATTTTCCATATGTGGAGTAGAAGCAAGGGAGTGGAACATGGCTTCATGGTGGTGATTCCTAGCCCAGTCGCAGGTAGTGTGTGTCCCAAATACTGTATCTAATTTTGTTTCTCCAGAAAACTCATACTTCGTAATTTTTTAAAAAATGGAATCCTTATCTCATCCTACATAAAATGGTATTTGTGATCTTGGTAATTGCAGGATAGAACTTGAAGATATGCCTGGTGATAGGCTGCGTATTTAAAAAAAAACAAACAAAAAAAGCCCCAAACAATTTCAAGAAGTAAGTGGAAAATTAGATTAGATTAAATGGGGTTCATTATTGGTATTGAAATGATTAGAATTCTAAGTTTGTTCTGCTGTTTTACAAATATTAATATATTTGCTTTGAACTCTATGGCAAGTTTGATTTCTGGTGCCCAGGCTTTGTCTTTTGACCTTTTTTGCATTTTATTTAAAAATGCAGTTTCATATCCTTAAATACAAACACCAAAAACAGGAGATTTAGGCAGGAAAATTCTGACAAATTACAGCTCTTTCTTTATTTAAAAGATTTAGTTAGGCAGGAGTAAGCATGTCTGAACGTAATGGCATAAATCTTCTGACTCTGGACATGTTTAAAAGTGGAGGTATCTCTAAACACCTGCCTTCCTGCTTCAACATATGGAGATATTTTCTTTTTGTCAGAAATCAGTTGACTGAAAGGAGGGCTGGATAAAAATGAGCAGACGTACTTTGTGGAATAATGGATTAGTTGAAGTGAGTAATGGTACTAATTACTTCTTTTGCTAGCTTTACCTAGGTATATTGCTACCTACAAAGTATTTATGCCCAGAAATGGAGACCTTGCCACTTCCTTAATTTTAAACCATTACAAATTAGCATGTGCTACTTCCTTTGATACTAAAATGACATGTGAAATACTAAAACTGTATGTTTTCAAACTCTGAGTTAATGGAGTAATTATATTGTTTGAGTACTATTATTTCACCCTGTCTTTCAGGCCCGAGCAAATTAACAATGAACAATGGTATAAATAGAGATAAGCCACCTCCTTCCCCTACCCCCCTCCTCCCCTTAGGGAGTTAATCTGTTGGTATTTGACTAAACTTTGTTTTAGACTGATTAGTGTTAGTTAGCTACTGGTAACATTTGCCAGTGTGAGTTGTAGTTTTCTGCTGAAGTTCAAAAACTAATAGACCTGCTAGATTTCTTTTCGTATAGCTAAAGTACCACGTGAATCTTTCCAATGGTCTCCATTTTCAGAGCAAAGGAAGCACCCAAGATTATACTGTAAGGAGTAATCCTTCTTTGCCAGGGGGTGAACTATATTGTTTTTCTTTTTTAATTTTGTCACTCAGTAACCATATTTCAGCTGTAATTACTTAAACAAAACAAAATACTTAAACTGTGTTTTTTTTCTGGTTTCCTAGCAGTCTTAACACCTGCAAATATTTAAATGTTAATGTGAAAGGGTTTTTCCAAGATGCTTCATGTCCAGCAGCAGGTACAGCAAGTTTTTCTACTTTAGGAATTGTAGCCAGGTCATCTAAATACTTGACTATTGGTGCCAGTTAGCCTGGAACATAAGGGAGCAATTCTAGTTTCCTAAGATATTTATAATATTTAACTAATATATTCGTAACTATAGGGAGAAATGCATTAACTCAATATAGTAACTCACACCACCAGCTTCCCCACTGCCTGCAGACTTACAGCGATGGGAGGGAGGAATTAAAGATGACCCTCCAATAATTAGAGTCTATACATGGAAGATTATAACAAACTTATAAATTGTCCATGTATAGACTCTAATTATTGGGACAGGATCATCTTAAATTCAGGGTCATCTTAAATTTGAGTAAATATGATAGTAAACTCAGAATACAAAATTGGTACGTTATATTGCCCATTTTGTTTTGCGTCTCAAACGTAACTGGGAGGACTTTGTAATGTGCATTTACAGTAAGTTGGAGATTGCTAAGATAAGGAAATGCAGGAGACACTGACTTACAGGTTTTTGCGAAAACTTAACTGAGAATTTGAATTGTAGCGGTGAACCTTTTGTAGTTCAGGTCTCAAATCATTAGATTCTTCTTTAGTTAACTTTTTTTATCCACTACAAATGAGAGAGAGAGAACACGTACCGTTACAAACACTAAACTATCAGTAGTTCTCGCTAAGTAAATAATAGTACAGTGGACTACTGGAGAAGGTTTTTACTTCTTATTTACTTTTGCATTCCAAGTTGCAAAAACCATCAGGACTGAACTTATTATCAAAGTAGAAGTCAAATTTTATGAACAAGCATATTATCCTATTGCTGTTTTACCTGGCTTGACATGGTATTTATGAATAATTAGGCTATATTTGAGAAATTATGTTAAATTATTTTATCATAAATTGTGTATGCCTAGTCGTTGACAAGAGATGATGTCATAATGAGCAGTTACAGAGTAGTGTCAGAGATGGTGTTATTAGGATTTGAAGCCTGCCATAACACTTGACTGCTATCTCTGAAAGAGACTTACAAATTTTTGTCTTGGTTTGCGCATTTCATAAATTTGAGTACAGTCATAGAATCATAGAAAGTTAGGGTTGGACGGGACCTCAGGAGGTCATCTAGTCCAACCCCCTGCTCAAAGCATCCCCAACTGGATCATCCCAGCCAAAGCTTTGTCTAGCTGGGTTTTGAAAACCTCCAAGGATGGAGCTTCCACCACCTCTGGGTAACCTGTTCCAGTGTTTTACTACCCTCCTAATGAGAAAATTCTTCCTATTATCTAACCTAAACTTCCCTTGCTGCAACTTGAGAGCATTGTTCCTTGTTCTGTCATCTGCCACCACTGAGAACAGTCTAGCTCCATCCTCTTTCAAAACCCCCTTCAGGTAGTTGAAGGCTGCAATTAAATCTCCTCTCAGTCTCCTTGGTTACCTCAGTCTTTCCTCATAAGTCATGTCCCCCAGCCCTCTAACCATTTTTGTTGCCTTCCGCTGGACTCTCCAATTTATCCACATCCTTTCTGTAGCGGGGGGCCCAAAACTGGACACAGTACTCCAGATGTGGCCTCACCAGTGCTGAATAGAGGGGAATAATCACTTCCCTTGACCTACTGGCAACACTCCTACCAATGCAGCCCAGTATTTCATTAGCCTTCCTGGTTCATATTCAGCGTATTGTCCACTGTAACCCCCAGGTCCTTTTCTGCAGAGTTGCTACCCAACCAGTCAGCCCCCAGCCGGTACTGGTGGACGGGATTGTTCTGTCCTAATTGCAGGACTTTGCACTTGTCCTTGTTGAACCTTAAGAGATTTCTTTTGACCCAGCCCTCCAATTTGTCTAGTTCACTGAATCCTAGCCCTACCCTCCAGCGTATCTACTACACCCCCAGCTTGGTGTCATCTGCAGACTTGCTGAGGGTGCAGTCTGCCATTTTCCAGGTCATTGATGAAGACATTGAACAAAACTGGTCCCAAGACCGACCCCTGGGTTACTCCACTTGACACCGGCTGCCAACTAGACTTCGAATCATTGATTACTACTGTCTGAGCTCAGTGCTCCAGCCAGTTTTCTATCCACCTTGCAGTCCATTCATCCAACCCATACTTCCTTAGCTTGCCTGCTGGAATGTCAGCTTTACAGTTAGCTTCAGAGTTGCTCCTGCACTTAGGATATGTGGCCATTGTAGGCTTCAGTGATAGTGTATGGTGGTAGTTGAACCAGCCTTGATAATGGAAGAAGTCAGGCTTGGCAGCATGGAGCTCAACATGAACTAATTTTCATGCCACTGAGAAGTAGGGTAAAAGAGCTTTGTGCTGTTGAAACTACACTTGAACACGCAAGCTGGCTCAGTTTTTTGGCACTACAGTCAAGTTTTCAGTGTAGACTCGCTTAAAGCTGGGGTCTGATCTGTACACTTTCTAGTCAGTGAAACTGTTCATTGTATAGTTAGGTATGCACATGAAGTTTTGCAGGATCAGCCTTTCATGTGGCAGCAGATGGGAGGAAAATATTATTTACATGGGAAAATGTGTTTAAACATACAATTCCTAGAAGAAATGTGGGGACAAGAGTAGTAACTGAAAATTTCAACTTGCTTTTTGCAATTGCCAAATTTTCTATTTGGCTGTACCATATTTTTCAATGAATGTGAATTAATGGAGCCCATGAGCATCTGAAAAAAGGGTAGTTGTTTTTGTTTTGTTTTCTGAATCTAGATAATTTTCCAAAACAATCGTACAAAAACTATATTGTACAATTTAGTGCTGTTTTAGTTTTACATAGAGATTTGGTGACTGTTCTACCAACCGTGTCACTAGGATAGTTACAGTGTTGTAAAATTAAAATGACCCCTTCAGTACTTATGTTAAGGATAGAGGTGGGGTTCCGCTTTTTTTCCCCAGTACTTCTTTTTAAAACCTGCTTCTGGTCTTAAGAAAGTAATTGGTTCCTCTAAGGTATAAAAAAAGTTGTCTCTTTTGTTAAAATCTAGTAACTTGAAAAATGTGCATGCTTGACAGCTATTTTAATGTTAATGCGATTGATTCTGCAACTTGGAGGTGATTTCATACATTGTTTTTTGTTCTTACTGAATTTTGCTTTCTTTATTATTTATTTATCTTTAAAGCTGCTTCCCGAAAAAGAAAACTAGAACAGTCTCCTAGAGAAAATTCAGATGATGACGATGATGATGACCAAATTGCAAAAAAGCAAAAAGCTGACTCTGTAAGTGTTGTTCTTTCTCTTGTGCAGCCACCTGAATGTCCTGACTTCTAGGGCACCATGCCAGGAAACTCTGTGTGTGGCAGGGAAAAGTAGCAAGGACAGTAAGGATCTTTTTATTTATTTATTTATTAAAAAGGGATAGATCCTTACTGTCCTTGCCATTTCTAAAAGATCCCTGCTTTTTCCTTCAAACCTACAGGGCCCATGTCTGGATAGTTTTTTTTATCAGGATTTGACATAATTTAATTGTGCTTTAACACTATATTCTGTTTATTAAGTATTTTAATTTCAATCCTGTCTGCCTCCTTTTTCCCATCAGAAGAGTTCTGTCCAAAGCCATGTATTTTATTCTTAAAATATTACATTTAAAAAAACCAACATGCTTTATTTATATACAATCACAACATTTCCAAGCTACTCAAGATCAATTACGTTTTAGACAACATCCCAAAATTTTGTTACTGGATTAAAATATTTTTCCTTCAGAATTCTAAGTACTACTTACTGCCTTGGGAAATTTTGTCGTATTTTGAAATAGATGTAAAGGAAGAAAGTAGTGATTTATCTGATTTTTGCAGTCAAATTATTTTTCAGGTTACTTTTACTGCTTAAAGAAAGACTGTTTAGATGTAAGCACTGCCTGGTGTCGACACCCCGCCCTGACCTGTTTCTGTAATAGTATTTTGCATTAAGTGGAATCAAGGCCAAAATAACTTCATTTTTTCTGAACCATAGCAGGAAGGGTCAGCATCTCAAAAAGAATGGGAAAAACAAGAAACTCTTGTCAAGAAACTGCAAAATGAATTCCCTGGTTTGGATAAAAAGGTAAGCTAGTATGTGCTTTTTTGGGGCAAATCTCCACTGATGTAACAGGTGTATAGTGTCAAATTTTGGCTACTGGGGTAAAGGAATTTTAGTGATATGAAGCCAGTTAAATGGCCACAGTACATGCACTGTTGCTTGAGAGAGGACATATGGCAGGGAACTTCATATTCTTGGAATGACTTTAAACTGTAGGGAGTTGGGTGTAATTTAAAATGACTAGAACTCTTTGGTCCACAAGCTGGTCTTGCATTGACCATAGTTTGACCAAAACAGAACATTTGATCTGCTGTGTGACTGGATGTGAGAATAGTTCATCTATATTAACTTATTTTTCCTTGGAGAATATTTGCTTTGGTTTTAGAATTAAACACACTTTAATAAAATAACGTTGTCTTGTCTTGCTCAAAAACAAATTGTCAAGTAGATTAATGGGAAAAACTTAAGTTTTTATATCATTAGGTGAAATAACTTGCCTAATAACTGGACACTTCAATATTTTTTAAAATGTTATAGTGTAAAAGTGGAAAGGGAACTATGTCACTGGTTGGGACGATAATACATACTCAATTGTTTATTTTGTGATATTCTAAACCTTGGATATATTTCTTCCTTGCATTTTCTACTGGCAGCGTAATTCCTTTAATTAGAAGACTTGCATTTTAAATGGTAGAAAAGATAAGTGTGGCCTTGAACACATACCTAGTATATAATATAATGATGCATCCAGTGCAAAGTATATGGATTAACCAAGGCCTTTTTCTTTTACTCACTCCACAAGTACATGTTTTTCTTCTGACTCCTATATAGGCTATATTTGTCTAGTGCGATTGCTGTTTAAGCATTTGGTGTTTAAACATGCCCGGACATCAGTTATTTTATACTTAATTGTGAAAAGAGAATTTATGTTATGGTGTTATGAAACAAATGTTGTTTTACTAGGAACTGAGAGATGTACTTCAAGAACATAATTGGGTATTTCATGAAGCACTGGAAGCCTTAAAAGTATTTGCAGAAGACCAAGAGGGTAAAGACAGATTTACAATCCATTTTATTTTATGATACAAAGAAGTCTTGAGGTATAAATCTTTTCCAGTGTCAGGTGTGACAGTCCTGACAGTGGTGTCTTAAAAGTAGCGGGAACATCTGAAATTAGTGTTTAAGGGAAAAATGAAGGAAAAGGTAACAAAAGAAGTTATTTAATTTTAAGCAAAGAAAGTAAAACAACCTGAGTGTCCATCCTTTTAATGGAATATTTTACTTTTCTAATTGAAGTGAGGGCAGGTGTGTATTTTCTCACCAAACATTCTTGTCATTTTAAAGGTGTTATTAGTTCTACTTTATTCTGAAAGCAGTTCTGAAATATGTAGATGGTGTTTAAGTTGGAAGGAAGATGCCTGTTACCCTTTTAAATAAAAGAGAAAGATAAGCCTTGATTCCCCCCCCCCCCTCCCCCCGCCTCTTCCCCTCCCCCCCAATTAAGTACTTTATAAATTGCTCATAAGAAAATGAACAAGCATTAAAAGCAACTAAAGTAAATCAGTTTATCCTACTACAGCATTCTTTTAGTATAGGAATAATATACAGAAAGCATTAAGCCGGAAAAATGCAAATAATATCAGTGTTTAATTGAATACTTAGTATACTAAATTAGATAAAAATAAGTCTAATTTCTCCATTGATTAAATCTGTAATCCATTACAAATGAAGTGCTTTGTTACATATTGTATTACTGCTAAGTGGTCCCAGTCAAACTGGCTATATTACAGTAACCTGGAGACTTAGCTTCTGCTTCAAATAAGTTAATGCATCAAATTCCTTAATTAAAATCTAATTTTCAATAATTGACATTTTAAGTTTTGTTTTTTCCTTCCCCAAAAATCACCAGGGTAGAGTAATACCTTTAATTTGATCCCTTTTATGGATATGAGAGTGTCATTGTATTGATATTGACTGAAAGATAGCTGCCTTTTCTTCTGGATGTTGGATTTGGTGGGAGCAGAGCTAGGAAAAGGAAAAGCATCAGACTATTGGTAGTCTAAAAATATTTTTAGTTGTTGAGCTCAAAGGAATATTATTTCTCAAAAAAGGACTTGCTCCCACTTTCTTTCTTTAAAAAAGAAAGCTGCAGTATTTGTAAAGCAGGGTTTTTCAACCTTTTTTTGTTGCTGTACCCCCGGCAACCAGTCCAGAAGCATGGAGTCCCCTGGCTGGTCGATGTGGTGGGGGAGGCCCCTGGCAGCTGATTGAGGAACAGGCATGGAGAGGAGGTAGGAAAACAAGCAGCAAAACTGGGAGCGCCCCCCACTTTGCTCCGCTGCTGCGTACCCCCTGGGAGCCTCCCAAGTACCCCCAGGGGTACGCGTGCCCCTGGTTGACACCCCTGTTGTAAAGCATTAGGATTATTTAAAGAAGAAATCAGAAGTTTGTAATTGAACTAAACATCTTGACGCTTAGCATAAAAGTTCTGGAGGTCTTGTTCCTCTGACTTCTTAAACAGGTACCTGCTTTTGTTGTCCCACCCGTAATACTGCTTTGAGTTGCAGCAAATTGAAACTTGAATCATGCTTTCTGTGGTGAAAGCCACACAGTAAACCAGGCTGGTTTAGTTTTTTGCCACCATAAATGGTTTTGGGAGGGAAACACTTTGATTTAAACCAAACTTATGCTAAAATGCTTAGACTGTTGTGTGCTTTAACACCTGTGAGATTTCAGCAAACTTGTTATGTTATAGTTTTGACCTCTTGATGCAGTTCATTAAACTACTGTGCTTCTGACCTGGTTTAATTTCTGCTATTTATGGATAACATAATTTAGACAATATTCTGAATTTATATTAATATATTGAAAGCATGTGTTGGTTAGAATTCTGTTTTTATTGTTATTGATAGTTTTGTACTCATACTAGTTATGACATCTAGTACAAGGATCAAGTTCTTGATGTTCCTTACAAAAACTTACTATGGGGCAAGCCAAAATTTGTTCCGTGCTAGATGTAAAGAAAATGTTGACCCTTGCATAAATATTTATTTTGAAAAGCAACTGTTCTTAAGCATTTTTGTTTTTACTTGGTACATTTTAACTTGATAATTACTTTTTTTTTCTACGTTGCATACACAGATGCACAAAATCCTTCCATAAGTGAAGTTTCTAATTGGAATGAAGTCTCCACAAATAGCAAAAATGATCAGAACAGTGCAAAGGTGAAGATGAAACAGAAATCTTCTACAAAAACTCAGAATGGCTTTAGGAAAAAAGATAAAGGCAAAAAAGGCATTTGGAGTACTAAAAGAGAAATGGAAGATTCAGAATACGAGTCAGCCTCAGAAGGTGGTAGCTCCCTTGATGAGGACTACAGCAGTGGTGATGAAGTGATGGAGGATGGCTGTACAACTAAAATACTTAACTTCCTGCAAGATGCTTCACTGGGTGAACTCACTTGGATCCCTCAGTGTTCTCAGAAAAAGGCTCAGAAGATAATAGAGCTCCGGCCCTTTAATAGCTGGGAAGCTCTGGTAAGTCTGCATTCTTTTTTTTTAATATCCCCAGTATGTTTATAGTCAAGGTGCCTTCATTCTAGGGAGGCATAGATAGGTGGCCTTATCCTGATTAGGCTAAAACACTATATTCATTTTAAGCCAATAGCATTTCAAATAGTGTCATATGACCTAATTTTGAATGAATTAAGGGGTGATTTTCTTGAAAAACCCAAGCTGATTGGCTGACAACACTGTCACTCACTCTTTAGCACAGAAACTTGGTTCTTTTCACAGCAGAAGAAGAAATTAGAGCTTTCATTTAGGAAGGAGTTGTTTGCTAGCCTGTTCTGATCTGTGTTAGCTGAAAAACCATGCAGAAGGCAAGAATGTGGCAGAACTCTTACTGCAGTTACTTTTTAAGAGCTGCAGCAACTTCCAGGGTAGCTCCATGATTGAAGATGCCAGCATGGATATTTTAAGCTTCACCATAGGAGAAGCAATTCTTCTCATCTGTTTTCTTTTAATATTGCAACTCAGTCTTTAGCATGGTTTTGCTGGCTAAGCAGTGCAGCCATTTTATGGAATGTAGGAAGCAGCTGTTTTGTAATAATAATTTAAAAAGCGCATCAGGATGGCTAAAAGAGAGTCTGTAACAGAAGGGGAATTATTATCCACTGGTAAGTAAACTATGTATGTACCCTTAGTGGGGCTTTATTTTCCAATATTTTTTTTATAGCATGTCTGTTTTCTTCAATTTTTTTTTGTGCGTTTCATCAAAGTGAAAAGCATCAAACCTGATCTGAGCACTACTGTGATAGGAAATTCAGTGTACTCAGGGAAGAAATGTTGTGGATTTTAGACTCGTTTGACTGCCTGGGCTTCTACAGCAATAAAGCTTACAGGCCATTTAAAAAATATATATATTTATATCTTTTGATCAAGTATGTTTTTCTTGGAAAAGGATGTGCCTTGTCCTAATGAGCTTTCTTTTAATATGTATGTATATATAATTGTCTTGAACTTTTGTAATATAATGTTAAACGTTCGGTACTTTGTGAGCAAAATGTTGTACCTTACAACAGTAAGTAATCTAGATCGGGTTTTAAAGAAAAAACAGCATATATTGCTGGAAAAAAAAGTTTGAAAAATAGTGCAAATATGCTGCAGAAGAAATCCGTTTTGCCTGAAGCCTTTGGCTTCTTATAGAACATCTGTCATAAACCAGTTCCTTTTCAAACTTGTTGGGCTTTGCCTGAGCTTAATTCTTTGCAGAAGTATTTGCTAAGGGGCTGTTCTTCTCCCTTCTATTTGCTAAAATATTTGAACACAATCAAGTTGTATGGGCCTGTTTAGATTCAAAATCTTTCCTTCATAAAGGTTGCTTTTGTCAGCACAGACATGTTATTTAGCTGCTGTCACTACATGCCCAGAGTGTAACTAATATACCACAAAATACAGTTCTTAGCAGATGTTTAATACAGAGGTAGTTTTAATTGGTTTTAAAAGATCAGTATACAGTATAACCCAACATTCTTCCTATAAGTTATACCAATTTAATAACAATTTAGGTTTTGTACTATATTAACTGTATATAAGATTTGCCTTCATATTTCTCTCTCCCCCCCACCTTGCCTTTCCCCCCAGTAACTTAATAAAGAACTAAAAGCATCTGTCCTTGTCCAGTGTAGAAAGCACCTTGGAATCCAGGGCCAACAAGATTAAGAGCTCACAGTATGTCATAAAGTATCCTGAAATTGTGTTTTATAAAAACAAACAAACAATCTTCATAACTTTGGAATCTGGATAGACTTATATTTTGGTCACTTAGTAGTAGTGATTGTTGTATAGTAAGAATAGATGGAAAAGTTAGTCAGTTTCCAGAAAATTCTTTTAAGAGTTTGTTCTGAGAACAAGTCCCAGCTCTAAAATGATATTTTTTCCCCCTTGTGAACAGCCACAATCTTGATACCTTTGTATTAGGCAGTTGTCTTCTGTGCAGTATAAGATTAAGGAACATATTGTGTTGACTCTCAAGAATATTTTTCAGTTAATTAAAGGTGAGTCTTGAAGCCTGATTGAGGCACACTGTATAATTGTCTCTTGATGAAAATGTGGGGATCTTAAGTAGTTAATGAAAAATGCACAGTAAGAAATAAATCTGGTCTTCATTAACAGCAACATATAGTTACAGTAGCACAGATGAGAAGTGACTCAGATAAATAATAATAATAATAATAATGGGTGGGGGCAAGTTTCTGGTCACAAAAATGGCTTGCTGTGGAAATTTTTCAAATGTGAACGCTAATTACATTATATCTTCAGGACTTCTTTTGAAATGCACATTCATTACTTGATAATATGGGTATGTTGAGCAGTACTTTCTTTCAAATAATGTCTAGTCTAGAGGCAGCCTGCCTATTTCCTGGATACTTTAGATACTTAATGTATTTAATGGTTGCACACTAATATGAACATAACAAACTATTGACCAATCAAAGGTATTGGGACATAGGTTTTCAAAACTGGGTGGGTGGTTATGTCACTACTCATAATTTTTGCTGTGTGAAATTATTTTATTCTTTAGTTACAGGAATTGCAGGATTTTTAAGTCCGTTTTTCTTTTATTTTCCTGTTGTAAAGTTTTGAGGGGTAATTGAATTTTTAAATTTGCATTATGCCTGTTAATTTTGAATCCTACTCTGTTCAGTTTTGTTGCTTGCCTGTTTTATTCAAACCTTTTTATGGATCAGTTTAAAGCATAGCAAAACAAATTAGTCATTTATTTTAACTATTAATTTGGCTACTAGCTCTGCAACTTGCAGAAATTGTGCCATTTACTCTCCAAATTCTATATTTGCAAATATTGTCTTCTTTCTATTAGTTTTTTATAGCTGTTTCAGACTTTATCTGAATAATATGTGCTACAAGCTCACATGGTTTTTACACAACTCTACAAGCGTAATATCCACTGTTCTTTATTTTTTCATTCCAGTCATTTTGAGCGTTGCCTTTTGCCAGTCTCTGTCACCAATTTGTTTTTATTTCTTTTACAAAATACTGTTGTGCCATTTTGCTAGCTGTGCCAGTAGACTCGTTCTATTTCTATAGAATACAAAAGCTGCAATCTTAACATTAAACAATAAAAGGTACAGCTAAATTCAGGGTTATTTTTAAGGCACCTCCGTGCTCTCCCAAAACTTGGTTCCTCTGTGGGTTGAAGTAGTATGCTGTACAACATTGCCGTGGAAGCCTAAGTTGACATAGCATCCTGGGGTTGTCTTCCACACTACGACCTTTAGTGATCCCATCTCACTCCATCATGCACCTACCAGCCCCACATCTGATATGTTACTCTGTATATGAGGTCCACCTTAGGACTGTATTTTACAAATACTGGTGGAGGAGGAATTTTTTTTCCAGCTAGAAATTTCCCCATCATTTTATTTTTACTCTTATCCTTGTACTTCGAATAAAATTTGGTCATGCTGAAGGTGAGGAACTCCTCATATCTTTAGCCCTCCCTTGAGCAGAGCCTTATGATACCTTTATACTTTGGGGGGAACCTTAATTTGTAGTCCGTTTGCATCCTTTTAAGGAAAGGAAGCTATTAAAACTAACATGGATAGGACAATTTCTTGCATGAGCATAAATCATAGGCTGGCAAGACCAAATCTCAAGATGTCTGTATACGTTTGTTCCTGTGGAGTCTTATAATATTATTCATTTTTTTTATAAGTGCTATTTTTAATGGGAGGGAGGTTGAAAAATAACTCTCTAAAGCAAAATTGCTAAGAAGTTTCATCAACTTAAATGAGAGTGACTGTATTTGGGAACTTACAAAATATTCTTAGGCAAGATTTTTCTAACCCCATTTATGGAATTTTTAATGAAATTCATTTTAGTATATGTATAACACATCATGTTTTAATAATAGTTAAACACAATTTTAATTTTTAACTGTACAAGAACAGATTTAGTGAATATGAAGATATGCTCAGCTGATCCATGTAGCCCATGGTCTTACCATCTTTATCTCTCTTCAACCCAGTCAGTATTCCCAAAGTCCTTGATGTTTTTGTTCTCTGTTCTGAATTTAACATTGGGGTCAATCCCACAAATACCTAGCATAATATTTGTTACCAAGAGTAGTTTTCCCTAGATGTGTGACTACTGATTGAACTGGACATTAAACTGCACTAAATATAGGATCAGCCCCTATGCTATAGTGGTCTTAGAAGGACTCTGCCCTTATAAAATAAGTATTAATACATATCTCTGCTTTGTGCAGGAGAATTCTCATGACTACTTCTGTTGATTTGGAACCTTTTGATTAATTTCAACAAGAAATTTAACAGACATTTATGATGGAAGTAAAAAAAACTGGACAAATAATTATCAGTTAACATTGCTTAACACTTCCTGTTACATGTATATTTTCCATTTGCATGCAACTTGACCAAATTTGGACCATTTAAGCCAACATTTTCTAAGCCAGGTGTGTGTCTTAGGCCAGGTTTGTTTTTGTTTTTGTAGTTTCAGTCAAAATGGCTTGAAGCTAGGGAAGAATATATTGTTTTACACATGTGGAGGGACAAATATAGAAGTCGTCTTATAAAGCTGTACATATACAACCTCAAAATTTGGCAAGGGGCATAACCTTGTGTCAGGGATGCATCTACCTGTTGCTCTTAAGAACTGTCCAAACTTTAAGCTTTAGAAAAAATAATGTAACAGGCTTAGAGAGTTAGATTTAAGTAGCTAAGTCCCCTGAAGACTCTACTCATGCTGGGCATGCTGTAGCAGAGTTGAGTAGGGATTTCCCTGTAGTTTTGATTTGTTTCAGGCTGTGCCAGTTCTGGATACCTGAATACAGGGCAAGGTACCTGTCTGCCATTCGTCTCATTACTGCAGGAAATTCCCTATTTGGGTGCCAAAGGGACAAGAGCTGAACCTGAAGGTACAGGGAATAGTAGATGACGTGAGCTGAAGGCTGTTCATAAAATTGTAGAAAAGTAGGGCTGGAAAGAACCTCCAGA